ATTATTGATCCCCGGGTATTGATCGTTACAGAGAGATAGATAGATTATTGATCCCGGGTATTGATCGTTACAGAGAGATAGATAGATTATTGATCCCGGGTATTGATCGTTACAGAGAGATAGATAGATTATTGATCCCGGTATTGATCTTACAGAGTAGATAGATTATTGATCCCGGTATTGATCGTTACAGAGAGATAGATAGATTATTGATCCCGGGTATTGATCGTTAAGAGAGAGAGATAGATTATTGATCCCGGTATTGATCGTTACAGTGAGATACATAGATTATTGATCCCGGTATTGATCGTTACAGAGAGATAGATTATTGATCCCGGGTATTGATCGTTACAGAGACATAGATTATTGATCCCGGGTATTGATCGTTACAGAGAGATAGATAGATTATTGATCCCGGGTATTGATCGTTACAGAGAGATAGATAGATTATTGATCCCGGGTATTGATCGTTACAGTGAGATACATAGATTATTGATCCCGGGTATTGATCGTTACAGTGAGATACATAGATTATTGATCCCGGGTATTGATCGTTACAGAGAGATAGATAGATTATTGATCCCGGGTATTGATCGTTACAGAGAGATAGATTATTGATCCCGGGTATTGATCGTTACAGTGACTCAAGGTTGAAGGAATGGAGACAATAACAAAAGTTACTGTGTATTAATCAATAATCAATAATCTGAACAGTTTAATCAGGTTTCAGTCAGAATTATTGAGAGTTGAAATGTTACATCAGCGGTAACTGGCTGTCTCCATGGCAACGGTGGACTTCCTGTTTACCACTGAGGGTGGACAGAATAACAGAAACAGCTGTGAACCCCTGTTCAGGAGAGCCTGCGATTATGGGATGTATGCTGTGTGTAACTCTACGCTGATTATCAATAGGAGAGGAACTTATTGATCAGGATCAATAAAGGTCGATGAATGTGTGTTTGATGACTGAATCTTCTCCTCTGTACAGGAAGTGTGTGGCTTCCTGCTGTGACTCTCACCTGTCAGCTGATCTGCTGACTTACTGAGCGCGCTCAGTCGGGGTTTTCCATCAACACACACACACAGATTTTGGTGCCAACACACGGTAAGTCGAAGTCTTAAAGTTCTTCGATTTAAAATCCCTCAGAGTTCAGTCCTGGTTGATCGGGGCTCTCCTGTAGGCTCTGCTGGTAAATGTGGTTCTGTTTAACTAACTAACTAGTTTAACTAGTTAGTTAGTTAAACTAGTGTAGTTTTAATAACGCAGTCAGGCAACAGTTGGCCTGTTTGCATCATTCTGTCAGATAATCTGTGAACAGCGACCGTAGCTCTGGTTACCTCACACCAACACTTCCTGTTTACAGACGATGTCGCCACTTTCATCACTATTTTTATTGATTATTGATCAGATATTTATTCAATATGGTTTTATATGACATTTATTGGCAGTTAGATGTGACGCAACAGTGACATCATCTCAGACATCATAAATCCTTAATTCACGGGCAGAGTGAGAGAGACACCATGTGACTGTGTATAGAGAATAATGTTTAATATCAATGTCTCTGTTCAATAACATTCAGATATTATTGATCAGTGATCCTGTGTGTACGTTAATGTATTGTAATCTGCTGATTAATGAGATAATAACCCCCTAATGGTTAATTATTGATCATTAATCTGCAAATCAAACTTCAGCTGTCAGTTTAAGTTTGACCTCTGATGACCTCACCACAACTGTCCAATCAGTGAGCTCCCAATCAGCCCATGTGACTTCAGTGGGTTTCTTTTTTCAGGATCCGTTCAGACCGCCATCATGGTGTTAGCCGACCTGGGGAGGAAGATCACCTCTGCGCTGAGGTCACTCAGCAACGCCACCATCATCAATGAGGAGGTAAGTCGGGTCACGTGACCAAAAATATCACACGTTCCGATTATTTGAACTTTTATGATTTAATCATCATATAAATATAAAGGATGAATACATTATATGTTAATGGTACCTGGAACAGCAGACTGACTGTGAGAGTTTCAGGTGCTCAACGCCATGTTGAAGGAGGTGTGTGCTGCTCTGCTGGAGGCCGACGTCAACATCAAACTGGTCAAACAGCTGAGAGAGAACGTCAAGTGAGTATCAAACACCAGAGTCCTGCTCCAGGATCTAAACCTGATCCAGTCCAGCAGCTGAGATTGAACCACTGTCTCTGGTGTCCCTACAGGTCTGCCATAGATCTGGAGGAAATGGCTTCAGGTCTGAACAAGAGGAGGATGATCCAACACGCCGTCTTCAAGGAGCTCGTCAAGGTCCGATCATCAGTCCTGGAAGAGTTTTCTAGAACTCAGAATGTTCTTAAACTGTAGTAAAAATCAGTTGGATGGTCTTCACATTCAGATTATGTCCAAAAACCTCTTAAAATGTTCTCAAGTCAGCTGTGAGTCACTCAGGAGTTAACTGCAGGGTGTGTTTGCTGTCTCCAGCTGGTGGACCCCGGTGTGAAGGCCTGGACCCCCACCAAAGGAAAGAACAACGTCATCATGTTTGTTGGTCTGCAGGGTAGCGGGAAAACTACAACCTGCTCCAAGGTGACAGCACACACCTGTAGATAGACCACGCCCCCTATATTGACTAGTTGTGATGTAATTTGATGCAGAGCGCCCCCTGCTGTCTGCTGTCTGACTGACTGCTTTGTTTCCTGCAGCTGGCCTATTATTACCAGAGGAAAGGTTGGAAGACCTGCCTGATCTGTGCCGACACTTTCAGAGCTGGTAAACAACACTTCCCTTCCTTTATTCACCTGTAAACACTTTATTCACCTGTAAACAACACTTTATTCACCTGTAAACAACACTTCCCTTCTTTTATTCACCTGTAAACAACACTTCCCTTCTTTTATTCACCTGTAAACAACACTTCCCTTCTTTTATTCACCTGTAAACAATCCTTTATTCACCTGTAAACAACACTTCCCTTCTTTTATTCACCTGTAAACAACATTTCCCTTCTTTTATTTACCTGTAAACAACACTTCCCTTCTTTTATTCACCTGTAAACAACACTTCCCTTCTTTTATTTACCTGTAAACAACATTCCCTTCTTTTATTCACCTGTAAACAACATTCCCTTCTTTTATTCACCTGTAAACAACACTTCCCTTCTTTTATTCACCTGTAAACAACACTTCCCTTCTTTTATTCACCTGTAAACAACACTTCCCTTCTTTTATTCACCTGTAAACAACATTCCCTTCTTTTATTCACCTGTAAACAACACTTCCCTTCTTTTATTCACCTGTAAACAACATTTCCCTTCCTTTATTCACCTGTAAACAACACTTCCCTTCTTTTATTCACCTGTAAACAACACTTCCCTTCTTTTATTCACCTGTAAACAACATTTCCCTTCCTTTATTTACCTGTAAACAACACTTCCCTTCTTTTATTCACCTGTAAACAATCCTTTATTCACCTGTAAACAACACTTCCCTTCTTTTATTCACCTGTAAACAACCCTTTATTCACCTGTAAACAACACTTCCCTTCTTTTATTCACCTGTAAACAACATTTCCCTTCCTTTATTCACCTGTAAACAACACTTCCCTTCTTTTATTCACCTGTAAACAACATTTCCCTTCCTTTATTCACCTGTAAACAACATTTCCCTTCCTTTATTCACCTGTAAACAACATTTCCCTTCTTTTATTCACCTGTAAACAACACTTTGCTTCCTTTATTCACCTGTAAACAACACTTTGCTTCTTTTATTCACCTGTAAACAACACTTTATTCACCTGTAAACAACACTTCCCTTCTTTTATTCACCTGTAAACAACACTTTATTCACCTGTAAACAACACTTTGCTCATAACAATCGTCCTCTCGTCTCTCAGGTGCCTTCGATCAGCTGAAACAGAACGCCACCAAAGCCAGAATCCCGTTCTACGGCAGGTGAGTTATTCGTCCGTGCTCAGACAGGCGGCGCTGCCTGCTGTCCACTGTCTCACCTGTTGTGTCACACCTGCGATTTGTGTTCAGTTACACAGAGATGGACCCAGTGGTGATCGCCGCAGAGGGCGTTGAGAAGTTTAAAGGCGAGAACTTTGAGATTATCATCGTGGACACGAGCGGTCGCCACAAACAGGAAGACTCTCTGTTTGAGGAGATGCTTCAAGTCTCCAACGCTGTGGTGAGTACCTGAAGGCACCACTGGCCTGTGGCCGCTGTCTGAACTGATTGAAGGGGTGTTAGTACCTGCAGCTGGACGTTCATACCTGTGACTGTCTCAACTCCAGATGTTTGTCTTTACCTGTGTTTCCATAGCAACCAGACAACATTGTGTACGTGATGGATGCATCGATCGGTCAGGCCTGTGAGTCTCAGGCCAAAGCCTTTAAGGACAAAGTGGACGTAGCGTCTGTGATCGTCACCAAACTGGACGGACACGCTAAAGGAGGCGGAGCTCTGAGCGCGTAAGGCCATCTTCTTCTTCTGCGTGGTGTTGTTGTTTCTTCTTCTACTGTTTTATTTAACGTTATTTCTTCTGCTGTTTCCTGTCAGTGTGGCAGCTACCAGGAGTCCCATCATCTTCATCGGAACCGGAGAACACATTGACGACTTCGAGCCGTTTAAAACTCAGCCGTTCATCAGCAAACTGCTGGGTAATAACACACACACACACAGACACACACACAGACACACACACACACACACACACACACACACACAGACACACACACACACACACACACACACACAGACACACACACTGTTACCATGGAAACCTTAATTAGCTCCTCCTCTTCCTGTCAGGAATGGGAGACATCGAGGGATTGATCGACAGAGTGAACGAGCTGAAACTGGACGACAACGAGGAGCTGATCGACAAACTGAAACACGGTGAGTCTCTGGAGAGCTCTTTATGCATTGCATTGTGGGATTGTTCCTTTCGGGCTCTGTGTGCACATAAAGAGACTCGACAGCAGCACGGCTCACCTGGAGAACA